CGCAGCTTGGACCCCAAGCAATTTGTTGAACTACTGGAGCTCACAAGCTTCTACTCGCGGGTCTGCACGAGGTAACTCCTTCATTTGTTTCCTCAACAAAGTCTTTTGGCACCCGCCAATCACCACACACCTGGACCCCCCGGGACCCTCACCCCCATGATGGCCGGCTCACACGTCGGAGACAGCCGTCACCAACTGGCTACTCAGCCCTCGCATTTACGAATGCATGAACTGCAATCTGTGGAAAAAGATCTTTGTATTATAGAAACCATAGCATTGCACGTCCCAATACCCCATGGGAGGTCGCGGGAGCAAGCTTTCGCTTGCTCCCTGCCGGACGTTAATCAAATCTACCTACCTACCTACCTACCACGTCAAGCTATTTGTCAGATCAAGCCCAACAGACCCTATTTTGCTGAACGTCAGAGTGGAGAGCGAAAGGACGATGTTGGCCAATTTTCTGTAGAGGTCCCCCAATCGGAGCACGTCGAGGCTAAGATTCTGAACTGGACGGACGGTTGGGTCCGATTCCGGATTATCAAGCAGCCTGCAGATACTCTGTTTGTGCTCGATCTATGCCATGATGATAAAAGGACCTAGGTTCGCGGGACTCTCTTTTTCTGTCCCCATCGAAAGATGGAAGACACCGGAATCGGAATCTTGTGTGAGACTTGGGTTCGTTCTGAAATGAACTGCATGACCTTGACTTCATTATGGACTTTCTCTTCAGGAAACATGATAATAGCGGTGGTACTATCGGTAAATGCTATCTGAAAGCAGACAGACATTGAATCCACCCAACGCGAAAATATCAAAATCTAAATACCTAGAAAACACCTAGATCGCTATAGTGGCGCTCTAGTAGCGCTCTATATAAACATCTTTTCTTTAGTTAGCTTTTGCCACACAGATTAGAAAAGAAGTGGGGTTGTAAGTATGGTTGGAGCTATGCATCTTCTTTGATCGCATTATACCCGATTGTACACCTAGATGATGAAAGCGTTCATCTTCATGCGGCTACTTGCAGAATAGCTTGTTGCGGTTTTTGTCGCATTGCATCATCTGGACTGTGTGACAGGTCTATGATAGGTCTGCGATAGGGGATGTTTCATTGTTCATATACCTGGGCATAATCATGTACTGAATATCTTCTTCTCTCTAGTTCATCGAGAGTATTATAAACATATGTAAAAGTAGTTCTGTTCAAGAATATAGCATCTCCAATCCGTCCATACCTTCTACAGAAGATTAGCCGTCGCGTATCAGCCTTTGAACGACCGGCATACATTCCACTTCAGAGGCCTTTCCTTCGACATGTCGAATGGAAGTGCAAGTCGTGGACACCATCCGAGTCGCCGAACATATGGCTGATCTCTCTGCCTAGGCTCTTGGATCGGTGACATCGGTAGCACTGTGGGAGAGAGATCAACGTCTAGCATTTGCAGCGACTAGAAGACTTTCCATGTGAACTGAGAGATGTCTCTACATCAACGTGGGACCACGTCTTTAGAAGGGTTCTCGAGTCATGATCAATCTCCCTCCTGGCAAACTTCTTCCAAATTTATTGAGTTGCCTCGATCAATTGATCATTTCACAGCAACTACTTCTTTTGAGCATCACCATCCTCAAGAGTTAAATAGCAACTGGCCCGAACTGTCATCAAATCAAAGTACCAGATGGCAGAACTCCACGCCATCTCCTATTTTGAGAGTGAAACAGACCAGCCTCCGGGCACATTCAAGTTGATCCGTGGTCAGACTTCTTTGATCTTCTGGGATGAGCTGTTCCTGACAATTCATCTTCATCTAGATGATGAGGCAGATGGGCACGGGCAACGCATTGTCGTTCTCGACCCAATCCCGTCGTCCGACCCAAATGAACCTCTAGTGAGTTGCCTCTCGAACCCTGCTCGTCTGATGTTAAACAAATCCTTATAGAACTGGAGCACGGTGCGCAAATCGGTCAATTTCTCGATTGTTTTGGCCATGACAATAGTCATCTTTACGGCGTAAGTGAGAAAAAGGATCCATGGTATGCGGAACCGACTGACAACCTTGATATCAGGATCAACATCCAACCGATCTTTTGGCAACAGATGACCACTGATATGGAAGTTACCTACGCCCAACTGAATTATGCGATGTCGGTAAATTTCGTCGGTCTCGCAACTGGTTGTCTCTTGTTTATTCCTTTTGCGAAAAAGTACGGCCGACGGCCAGTTTACATTGTGTCAACAGCATTGATGTTGGCAACCTCATTTTGGGCAAGCAGAATGAATAGTTTGACAGAGCTGTATGTGACCAATTTGCTGCAGGGGTTGGCTGGTGCAACCAACGAGTCGATAGCCGAGATAACAGTGAGCCATATCTTGGGACCGATGATACAATGAGCTGCTAATGTTGTACAGATTGTCGACTTGTTTTTTGTGCATCACCGGGGAAGGATGAATGGCATTTACCTGACATGTGTCATGGTTGGGGTATGTCTCCCAATCCCATCGTTTGAAGATCTTCGCAGCGTGACTACTGAAGAAATTGACAGAACTTCTTGACTCCCATGGCTGCGGGGGCGCAAGCCACAGAGCACGGCTGGCGCTCGTCCTATCAGACCATGGGAATCTTCAACGGTGTCCTTTTTCTTCTCTTCCTCTTCGTGTGCGAGGAAACGAAATACATCCCTGCACTCCCTGGGCACGCCGGCGCTACTGTTGATGAAGATAATCCAGCGATCTCCATAGAAGACCATCTGACCAAGCTGGATTCGGAGTCTGTAGCCAAAGACCTTTCAACTATCGAAGAAACTAGTTCTCACCATGCGCTGGACCTCCGCTTACCGCTGAACTCATGGCAAAAACGACTTGCCCTGGTAACGCCAACCCCAGAACCACTCTGGCCGCACTTCTACAGTCCGTTCTGCGTGCTCATCTTCCCGGCTGTGGCATTTGCCGCATTTCAGTACGCGGCTGGGGTAGCTTGGTTGACGGCAACTTCAAGCGTGTTGTCACTCACACTACCTCAGCCACCGTACCTCTTCACCCCTGCCGAAATTGGATACACTAACGCCGGGCCCTTGATCGGGAACATCATCGGTGTGGTGTACGGCGGGTTCCTTGGTGATCAGTCAATTCTGTACTACGCAAAACGGAACAGAGGCTACTACGAGCCCGAGATGCGGTTGTACATATTACATCTTCCGGCGATTTCCATGGCAGGCGGCCTGATGATGTTCGGTGCAACGATCGCCAGGGTAAGGCCACAGAATCAACAGTGAACGTTGGCACTTGGGCTAAGGTTCTGTTAATGAATGAGTGCTAACTACTATTTGTGTTCTGGATCATAGGGAATGCACTGGATCTGGCCCAACGTTGCAGGTGCCTTCTTCGGGTTTGGCTTGGGCAGTATCAGTGATGCTGCATTGGTGTTAGTCATGGACAGTTACAGAGACGTATGATTGGTGGACCTCCATCCTATCTCGTTTCGAGATACCTTTTACACCCTACTTGATCCACATTTTGTGTCAAGTGAGAAAGTCTTACTAACACCGGTTGCTAGATCGCTGGTGATGCTTTCACTGCAGTGGCGTTCATGCGAAACGCAGTCAGTATCGGAATCCCATTCGCGATTGCTCCATGGATCCAGCGCAATGGCATACAAGGCATGTTCATTGCGTGCGGAATGATGAGTCTGGCAATTACTGGGACGATCATCCCCATGGTCATTTGGGGCAAATCTGCTCGGCGTGCATTGACAGGCCGATATCTCGATATCACGAAGCGTGGCCATGCTGTTTGACAGCTTGCTGTGGTCCCCAGTTACGTCAGGGTCTGGATCTGCATTTTGCTTTTTTAAAATGAGGATTTTCGACAGCAGGCTGGTGGAATCTGGCTGCCTGGGTTGGCATACCTGATTTGATACGGGTCGGGCCATTTGGAACTCGGGTGATATTGGGCTAGCCCCCCCCCCCCCCCCCCCCGGACTTTCATTCAGAGGAGGTGAAATGATGACTAGAGCCTTCATGGGAAACAACAAATGACAGATTGAATGTATTTTCATCATTCTCTTGACCTTGTGGGAGTGGAAATCTTTCAGAAGAGATTATCATAGTTGTACGAAATGATACAATAGCTTTGGGGGGTGCCTTGATCCGGTACATCTATGGGGTACAAAGCAGGTCTTTTTCACCAATGAGAGTTATTCACGGGTTTCACATTCCTCGTTAAGCCTTACGAGAACATGGAAGCCTGATCTGTAAGAGATAGCTGGCATACAAGTATAACCCTAACCCTAACACAGTAACTTGTACGGAGGACTAGAACATGATTGTGAGATTGTTGAAAAGGAATGATTTAATTTCTTTGGTTTAACCATGAGAATAGGCCAAGAAAATAAAATCACACCGCGTAGTCAGATGAGCTGAAAGATTGAACGAAAACCCAGCCAATCTATGCGCAAAAGGCCGAGAAGTAATCTACAGATTCGCCTTGTGCACGTCATCGGTGACCTCTTTTGGCAAGACCGCCTCAGCAAATCTCTCCTCCGACACAAGTAGCTGCTCAGGGAACCACGAGAGATCCGCACTGACAGTCTCACTCAGCGAAGCATCCCGCGCGAGCAACATAGTCGCCACTGCCTGACCAGCAAGCCAAGCCTGAACCATTCCGTCTCCACCAAATGCAGCACAAACCCACTCGGCCCCCTCAGACCCATGCTCAGACCGACCTGTCGCAACTCCCGGCAACTGTCCTACCCATGGGAATGCATCGGAGCTGAACGCCATACTGCCAGTCCACATCGCCTGTACCGGCTCGCCGTGCACGCAGCCCCAGTCTTTGGCTCCGAAGATGGCACGCAACGCCCCAGACAAGTGGATGTCAATGTAAAGACTAAGATCAGAGTCTGTCGAAATGCCCAGGTCCGCTAGACCGCCGCCCTCTCCCTGCGCAAAGCCGCCGCCGAGCATCATCTGCCCCGTCGGCAGCTGGGTCATGTAGTCGAAGCCACGGTCGTAGTTGAAGATCCAGGAATGATCAGCTGCTTGGTTAGGGAAGTTGTCACCGGGTGTTTGAGCTGACATCTGCCCGCGCACGGGGAAGATTCGGCCCCGGAAACCGGGCACCAGGTGGCTGACATGGGCATTGGTGCAGTGGATAACGTGTCGGGCGGTGATGGTGCCTCTGCTTGTCTCCACCGTGTATCTTGGGCCGGTGGCAGCATCCTCGTCGTGAATGGCCGTCACTCCGGTGTTTTCCTCCACGCGGAAGTCATCCGGGAAGTCTGCAAGGAGACGTGTCAGGACGCCGATGACGAATCTATAGGGCCAAAGGGCACCTGCGGGGCCAGCGATGATGCCTCGGGCACGAGTCAAATGCACCTCCTAGAAAGAAACTTAGCATCGGTGTGTTGTGTGCTAGGGGGTAGGATATCAATAATGTACCCTCGGGATAGCGTCTCCCTCATAGGAGTTCCATTCAGCAGATTCCTCCGGCATTCCCTCCTTGAAACGTTGCATGCGTTCCAATGCTGCGTTCCAAGGCTCGTCACCAAAGTACACGCTCAAGAACTGAACCTTTCGTGCTTGCGTCTCAGTCGTGATTCCAAGCTCCTCTGCGACAGAGAGCATCTCCTGCAGGTGCGCCAATCGGAAGCGAATGAGCCTACGTGCGGCGTCGATGCCAAAGAGATCGGCGAACTCGCTAAAGTCATCGGCTGTCTCCATGATGTGTCCCCCATTACGGCCAGTTGCGCCACTGCAGACTGTGCGGGCTTCAAACATGACAACGGATGGATAGGAGGTGGAAGAGGGCTTTGAAGCACGGCTTTGAAGCAAAGTCCGGGCAACAGATGCTCCAGTAATACCAGACCCAATGATAACAATATCAGTTTCCTTGGGGAGAGCCTTTGCAGCTCCGTTGCTGAAGCTGTGCGGACGCCGAGTCCAGAACGACGAGGTCGTTGAACTCTGGGGAAGACCTGGGTCAGAGTAGATGCGATTGAGAGCTTGCTGTCTAGCAGAGGCTGAGACTGAAGGGTCAGTCAGAATGTCTGTAGCAAAGGGCATGGTGGCTGAATGGTAACAGCTACGGTACAGGGTCGAATGTTGCTTTGGTGAAGGGAAGTCAAAGAAAGGAGGTGCATGGTAGAGAATCAGTCATAAACGGCAAGAGCACTAGGTGACTATATATGTAGGGTCTTACGCGAGATTAGAAGATACGTGTAAGAGGGAAAAAACGGAAATCAAGAACACGAGGCTGAAGTCGTCAGGCTCAATATCAGATCGCAAGTACGAAACGCTCTGTTGGACTTGCACTTCCCAGGTTGACTATGACAGTAATGCACTAATACACTTGTGCATTCAGCTGATGAGCTAATCTCTTCCCAAGGTTTTTCATTTCCGTGGATGCGACCTGGGCACCTACAGATGCCCCATCAGATAAAGTTTTAGATAACACGCCGGTGGGTCAACCTTCTCTTTGGAGATTTTAAGATTGCGGGGAGTTTTAGAATACATCTGGGTCATAGATAACAGGCGCATCCACTCACCCTTCTTCCTGTCTTGATCTGTCTCTCATTCTATGATGTTGGCCCTAAAAGGCACAGACTGGGTAATAGTAGTGAAGGTAAAGCACCTCAGAAACCCAAGTTCTTTTTCTTATCTAGTCCCTCCCAAACAGCTCATCATCTCACCGGTTCACATTCCATGATTCTAGATGCTCGCCATGCCATCCGTCCATCCAACCGCCAACACCTCTATATTCGCCCCAGAGCCTGTACGGGTCCCGGAGCATGGTATTTCAAGTCCATCGATGATTATCCCAACACAGTTCTGTCTGCGAGATTATTCTAGCATAGGGTACATTCATTCATACCTTTCGTCTTCAGGTGAGACCTCTTCCATACCTTATCTCGGTGTAATGCGCCATGGGCGGGAGGAGATGTGGGTCGGTATGAATAACTGGACCAGTTTCCCCTCGTCTCAAGTGATGATCAGTAAGCTGGATTTTGTATCGGAGAGGGGTCCGCATAACCGACTGCAGAAAGAGGGGTTGCACTGCCAGTTAGAGAGTTCGGGATTCAAGTGTCTGCGATAGCCGCCATTCACTCTAGGCCAGTGCCTTTCTCAGATGTGATAAGATTACCCCGCAAGATAGAGAGTGATTCTAATGAAGTAAGGTAGGCATAACAAGGTTGGACTCCACAACTCGGGCGCCGTTGCAGATTTCTCCCGGCTCCAAGCTCTCCGAAAATGGCAGGTTGACGCATGCTCGAAAACTACTGCACCAAGGGGGGTAACACAACAAGCTGGGAGTGAGAGACTGAAGTGG